CTTTCCTTAATCTCAGATTGTAATTGATTCATAAACCTATACCTAAAAGTGTCCCCAATGCAGGCACTGTTTTCATTGGGTGAGAAAAAAAGCCATCTTATTCACGTGGGCTTGGTTGAGCTTCCACATTCTCTAAAGATGATGATCTTCTTGTGTTGCCTATACTTGGTAAGGTCAGTCATGTGCAATATCTTCCTGTTTTCTCTACCTATTTGTTTGTAGAGAAATCAATCCACTTTTTGTTCAAAGACATAACAGGATTTAAGATGATATAGTAGCACAAGCCCCATTGTCATACGAAAGGGGAAAGTCTGTACCCAGTTTAAGGCTGTTAGATGTGAGGAATTTTATATAATTTTAAATTTATAAGCTTCTACCCTGGCTGTTTCCTTCCTATACAGTTCTGCTTAATTCTCATTTCCCTTCACTGTTCCATCTGGGATTTAACCCATTGACTTGGATTGCTCTGGTAGAATTTCAACCAGGCCAATCAGCGAACAGAAGAAGTTGTGAATGATGAGGAAGATTTTTTGCACTGTTTTATAACTGTAGTCTGCCTGCATTTGGGCAAAGGCAGTGGAGGAAGTGAACATTCAGTCAGTGTTTGATGTTGTTCCAAATATTGAAACAACATCAAACGTTGGGCTCGGCACTTCTTCCTTTGCAATGGAGGATGGTTGTTGACAGTGCAGGCAAGTTTCATTAAGACTCATACCGTGGTCAGGCGTAACATTTGGCATCACACCCAAACGTTAGCGATTGGTTCAAGTTTCAAACTTCAACAGAGTCCACGCCTCCAGGAAGCAATCCTTTTTGAAGAGCAGAGACTCCAGACCCTTTTATGAAGTTTTTTACCAGGCTAATAAGCTCCTGCGCTCAGTTGCAGTGCACATTATTTGTTGTCTAATCTCTAGAATTACAAGCAGGTATAAAAACATTGAGTCTCAGTTTTAAAGGTCTTGTTGCTTCATGTGGGACTTTAATGGACATTGATAGATTAACCTAAACACTTTTGAGGAAGGGTCTTCTTTTTTAAATCACACGCAATACGATGTATGCATTCACCCAAAACTATACGTTTCCTTGAGAGGTCAAACAAAAGTATGTTTCTCATGATCTCTTTTTATTCTGGCATTTACTTGTGGACTTTCCTAGTCTTTTGTGTTACTCCAGGAAGTAAAAATCATAATTTTGATGTACTTGCATGCCCTTAATCAGATTTTACCAGGGGGAAAAAACAAAAGCTTGCCTCAACTTGTAACATTCAATAGACATTGTTTTTGTGGATGGCTTTGTGACTGTTGCATGGGTGGGGATCTAACTAGCCACTTGTGTGTCTGGTAGAAGATTGATCTGAACTTAATTTGAAGTTTTTCACAAAAAGCAACATTAATTTTTAACCTGGCATTAGTTCTGATGGCTTTGGCTCTTTATATTAACAGGATTATTACACTTTCAATGATTAAATTAATTGTAGCTTTGACCCATAGCTCATTACATATACCAACATAAGTTTTCTGCTGAATGCAAGCGTTGATTCCTGGACTTAAGTAGCCTCTGTTATCTGCAGTTCACACTGCTGGATTTTTGTTTTTCTTTTTGATTTAGCCCCTGTCACCGCAACCTAAATATGTGACGCTGACCCCATTTGTGTCAATCCACAACACTTGTTGCACTTTGACTTTGAAATGTTCTTTACACCACATCCTTGTGAAGCTTGCACATTGTTCAAAAGCCTTAACTTATGATGCAGATTTTGTTTGCACCTCAGCAGCTGTATCTCAATTAAAATATGACTAAAAAAGTTGATTTTGTTCAAAAGTGAGACTGTTTTATACAATATGTAAACACATAATGATTACCTAGTCTTTACAGTTTGATTACAACTAATAAAAAAAAATCAAAATGTGTTTATTTTTTCTGAAAATTTTGTTGTCACATTCAATAATTTTCATAAAGAAATGTGGGGCTACTGAAAAGTATGTTCATATCAGAGGTCGCGTTAACGGAATATTTTACGTATTTGACCGGTTATTTTTTGAAACGACGGGAAAATTTAAAGCCCGTCGGTCATTTGACAGATTATAATTAACACCCTTAACTGGCACACATGCGCACACATTACAGACTTTATGCAGAGTTAATCGCAGAGGCAACTAAAATCAATTAATAAAAATCCTTTCTGAATATCATCTCATGGACACTGAACTAAATGGGTCTTTATGACCAGGAGCTGACAGCGTGTTGAAGAGTTATGGACCGGACGCCTTGGAGTGCATCTGGTGGTAGAAATGACACGTTTAATTTCAGTCTCCATTACATACAGAACAGAGAAAACTAAAGAGAATGCAATGTTGTGTTAATCCATTTATAGTCTAAACAGAGGAGCAGGCAGTTAATCTTGAGGAAATAAATAAAAGTGCAGAAATTAATTAGACCGTAACATGCGCAGTCCAACCAATGCGGACGCATCTCTGCTGCTGCGAAGAATTAAACTTAACTCATCCTGCGGTTTTAACAAATGGAGCTGAATACGTTACCCTCCCGTGCCCAGAAAGAGAGTGGAGCTCAGAAGCGCGGCAGATGTAACATCTGTCCATTTCAGGGAAGTGAAACCACGCAAAAAATAAAAAATCCTCATAAAAGCGCACATCAGGACCGCACAGGGTTAAAAAAAAAAAGTTCAACTGATCGGTTTGGATGAGACGGATCCAACTGACCGATGAACTAGCGCAAATTTCTCTGCAGATGCGAACCAGGAGGAATTTTTTGAGGCTGTGAGTTCAGACCTCAGTAGGTGAAGTGATGTAGTTTAAGTGGAGTCGTTTATTTTATTATAAGTTATTGGGGCCATAGTCAGTGGTTTTTGTCACTTCGGAGAAAAAGTTAGATCCGTTCATCTGCTTTATGTCTGATGGGATCTGGATTCACGGTTCAACTAGCTGAATATTAACTAAACCGCATAAAATGCGGTTAAATAGCCAATGTTAATGTGATTATAATTTGACGGGTGAAAATAGTACATGACCGATTTTTTTTAAAATCCTGTTGGTCAAAATGACGGAGAACAAAAAAGTCTGGCGCGACCTCTGGTTCATATATGCAGTCCATACCTGATGAATGTTTCTTTCAGGAATTACTACATAAAATGTGCAGGACCTCATAGTAACTATTCATGACTTTTCTTCCATTTAACTTTCTATTAATATAGCAATGACCTATTGTGACTTAACCTCTTGATAGTGTTATGTCAGCAGCCATGACAAAACATAACATGCATAAAACCAATTAAAAACGACCATTTTTAATGTAATTAGATTGTAATCAGAAACAAAAAAAATCCTCAAACTTTTTTGTATCTGATTATTAACTCCAATGCTAACCATTTCAATCAATATTTGTGCAATGATGCTTTTTTATTTCTCACAAATAAAGGATCAATGACAACAATTTACTCATTCGGACACAAAAAAATTTGATTTACATATTTTTTATGGCCACTGAAAAACCTAAACACAAAATAACACTAATTATCTTTGAAAGTGATTTTTTGTAAATTTTTTAATATTACATTTAGATTTTTTTTTTGAAGGGGTCATCTTTAATATTGAACTTGAGACACTATTCTGCCCTGGGTCAAATTGACCCGCTGACTAAAATCAAGACAAATGAGTCCTGAAGATGATCCTCCAGGTGGATTTCCAGTTTAAACCTGCATGTCCAAAACATAACTGGTTTTTGCATCACATGCTGCCCAGATTTTTATGCCATATTTAGCTGGTGTGGAAGGCATATATTGCCTAAATGAGCAGCGACCTCTGAATGCCACAAGTCTTTCATCTACTGTGACATTAGGGAAGTTGCAACCCACATGTTCCACACTGTTCTGTTAGCTGCTAGTTTGTCTTGTCAGTCGATTGTCAAATCGGATTAATCTGGAGAAAAGTCTCCAGAAACATTATGGCCCAAAATATTACCCTGTCTGTCTCTGCATCCCATAGACTGGCTGTTGATTCATTCTTTGACTTGTAAGCTCTGGTCAGAATGAGGACCCCCAAATATCTATGTAAATGCATTTGGTCCAGCTCCTTCCAGTTCTCTCCAAAAATGTCCCTTCCTTTTAGATTTGTCATTTCAAGAATGATTTTCTGTAATGCACTAGGCATGAGTAGCTCAAAGACTGACTTTATGTCTGTGATGCAAGTTACTGTCATCTTAGTAGGCCTTGGCACTGTCTTTATTATATTTTCGACAGACTGTTTTCCTAGGTGCTTACTTGGAGATGAAGAAACTGTATTTCACCATTTTTTGACATGAATGTCTTGGTTGGAGAAACATGACTACCATTTTCAGCAATTGGTTCATAATCAGAACGCGTGCGTGCGTGCGTGCGTGCAGTGAAATATGTCTTAGGTTCAAGGAAACAAAATAGAATTGGAAATTTTTTAATTGACCCAAACAGTATCTATGTAACAAGTAGATGCAAGGATGTAAATGTGTAAAATGAACCATTTTCATTTTATACATGGAGTGCACCTATTAAGACAAATAGAAAAAGTGTCATGCAGAAAAAATACTTCTATTAAAAAAAAAAAAAAATTAAAACTGGTCAATTTGACCCGCAACATAGCAGGAGGGTTAAGGGCAATATTGTTTACAGAGACTTCATAATCCATTTTATTTGCAATTTTGGTTTAGTTTTTATTTCTATTTTATTTATTGTTTTTGGTTGTTGTTTCATTTTGGAGTTTTAAAATATCTTCCAGTTTAAATGTTCTTTATAAAATTTAAGTTTATTGATCTTTGAAAGACCAAAATACTTAAATTTGAAAGAACAAATGTGCAATATTATGCCATTTTCAATATATTACTTGAAAATTGTTCCAAAAAAATGTTATAACTCATCAGGATAATTACTGGGGCAATTTATTGTCCAGCAAAATTAGTTATAGTGATAGGCTTAGACTAAAATGAATCTTGTTTTGTTCCATTTCCCTCAGTGAATCGACACAACCACCTGAAAGATTTCATGCTGGTGGTGTCGATAGTGATCGGAATGGGCGGCTGCTGGTTTGCCTACATCCAGAATCGTTACTCAAAGGACCACATGAAGAAAATGATGAAGGACTTGGAGGGTCTCCAGCGGGCTGAGCAGAGTTTGCATGACCTACAGCAGAAGTAAGGGCTCTTCCCACCACCCTCACTGCACACTGTTCAATGATGCAAGGACTTTGCCCTCTATGGCTGGAGTTTTATATTGTGTTAGATTAGAGGGCAGTATTAATTATACATCGGTTGTTATGGTTGATTGTTAAGCACATAAGATATTAGGAAATAATGAAACATAACCTGCTCTTTAAATTGGGTAAATAAAATGAACTACTGCACCATGTGGATTATAAATCCATGGAAAAACTAGGTCAAAGTGCAGTCCACATTACTGAAAATAACTACCCACATACTGGTTCTATTGAGCTTTGAGGTGAAATGGTAACTCTTGAGGTTGTGATTAAAAATCAGTGATTCTTGAGAATAGGGACAAAACAGGTCCTATGGATAAAGCACCAAATTTGAATAAAATATACACAAAAT